TACTACTATGAGAAGGACCCCAAGGTGGGAGACAAAGGGTGCTGGGGTGGGTGGGGGGACCCCGCTTTGTAGGGTGGAGGGTGGTGGGAGGTCATGTCGTTGTGTCCCATCCCCTCCCAGTTTCCCCATTATGGCCAGAGTGGGAATTTATATGGCCGGTGTAACGAGTGGGTGCAAACCCTCCTCTGAACACATTAAAAGAAGATAATGGGAGGGTGAAGGGGGGGTACCTTGCTTTTTTCGATTTAGGGGTATCCCCCTGACTTTGCCCAGCGCAGGGACTGGACTTTACTGGGCCAGGCCACTGGCCTTTGCTTTGCAAAACAAACAGAGCGCGGCTTGGCCGCAGCCGGGCGCGGGCCATGGGAACAGCGGTTGTTGTCCCGCCGCGCTGGCCTGGCTGTGCTTTAAGGAGAAGCAGCTGCCAAGCCTTCTAGGGTGAATTCATCCAAAGGTTGAGATGAACCCGGAGCCAACCGCAAGCAGATCTTGTTTAAAATAAATGTGATAAAGTATAATCCCCTCCTGGCAATCCCCTGGGCAGCCTCCAGCTTTCTCCTTGTGGGAAACGCCTCACAGCATCCCAGAACTGCCTGGATTGGAAAAGCCCTTTAAGCTCATCGAGTCCAACCATGAACCCAACACTGACAAGTCCCCTATGACTAACCCATGTCCCTCAGCACTGTGTCTACACGACTCTTCAATCCCTCCAGGGATGGGGACTCCACCACTGCCCTGGGTAACCCCTTCCAATGCCTCAGAACCCTTTCAGCAAAGAAATTCTTCCTCACATCCCATCTCAACTGCCCTGGCCACAACTGGAGCCCATTTCCTCTTGTCCTGTCACTTGTTCCTTGGTTAAACAGACCCACCCCCACCCTCCTTTCAGGGACTTGGAGAGAGCAATACCCCACCAGCCCCCAATAGTTTAACCCCACCTCTGTGTTGTGGAGGGATGAGAAAAAAAGCTGAGCCTCTTGCAGGGCTTTGATCTGGGGATTTTCCTGCATAGCTGAGCTGTGCTGGATCCCATCCACCTGGCACCGCTACCTCCAGCTCTGCTGGGACCAAACCAGTTAGCCCCACCGATCCTGCCCAGCACATCCCATCGCCGTTCCCAGCTCCACTCTACACAGGTCCTGAGGAAATCTGTCAAGTCAGGAACCTTCCTCCAGCCTAAATCCTCCCTGACACCTGCCAGGGGATGGCTCACACAAGCCTCCGCGTTACCAGCTGCATCCTGCACACATCGTGTCAGTGCGAGGGGAGGTGTGAGCACACCGTGCTCCTGCCACCAAACCCGGTGGGGACAGCAGAGGAAGCCCGTGTCCTGTCTCACACCCCTGGCCCCGGCAGTTTGCTCAGGTTTCTGATTGCTTTGCAGCTCAGGGTGACGTTAGGAAATGTCTCCTCTGTAAAGTTTAACTTTGTACCGCTCTGGCTGCCCGGGTGACCGTCCCGGGGCTGTCCCTGCTCTCGGACAGAGCGCTGGGACTTGTCCAAACAAACCCACCTCAGTGGTTCCTGGCTTGGGAAACAGCAGTGGTGGGAGAGCGGGGCAGGGGCTGCAGGACATGGCCACCTCTGAGGAGCTCCAGCCATCAAATTCCCTGTGCAAACCACCCCATTTTGTTGAGAATCCAGATTTTTTCCTCTTACTTCAAGATAATGCCCGATAGCAGCTGCCAGGGTCCGGAAGAGCCTCCTCCAGCTCTGGAGAAGGTGACCAGGGGGTGGTTTTCTTTTTCAGAGGATTTACTACCTCTCCCTGGAGTTCTACATGGGGCGGACACTGCAGAACACCATGATTAACCTGGGGCTGCAGAATGCCTGTGATGAAGCCGTCTACCAGGTGAGCATCCCAGGGGATCGGTGAGGACCTGGACTGGGAGGGCTCCACGTTCTCCACCTCCTGGGGATGTTTGTGTTTTACCACAGTGGCTCCAAACCACTCCCCAGGCTGCGGGTGATGCCTCAGCAGATGAATGTGGCTCCAGAACCTGCTCTGGAAAGGTCTGGGGTTTGCAGCCTGATTGGGGCTGCCCAGCCCAGGGGCTGCGTGCCAAGGAATGTGTCACGGCACTGCCAAGCACCGATGGGATGGAGGGTCAAGCCCATAAACTGCAAGGAAGCTCATGGTTCATAGAATCCCAGACTGGTTTGGGTTGGAAGGGACCTTAAAGCTCATCCAGTTCCAACCCCCCTGCCAGCAGCAGGGACACCTTCCACTAGACCAGGTTGCTCAAAGCCTCATCCAGCCTGGCCTTCAACACTTCCAGGGAGGAGCAGCCACAGCTTCTCTGGCCAACCTGGGACACTGTCTCACCACCCTCACACCAAACAATTTCTTCCTCACATCTCAGCTCCATCTCCCCTCTGCCACTTTCAAGCCATCACCCCTTGTCCTGTCACTCCCTGCCCTTGGCCAAAGTCCCTCCCCACCCCTCCTGGAGCCCACCTGCAAGGGGGGACGGCAGTGGTGGGCGCAGGGCAGCACCCAGGGGTGCATGCCAGCAGTACCTGCCCTCTGTGGGGCTGGGCACCTTGAAGGCCTCCAGCCCATCACCTTCTCCTCTCCTCTGCAGCTCGGGCTGGACATGGAAGAGTTGGAGGAGATTGAGGAGGATGCCGGGTTGGGCAACGGCGGTCTCGGCAGGCTTGCTGGTGAGTGAGGGAGCCCCCAAACCATCTGGTTGCCTGGGTGGTGGGACACAGCCCAGGAGCCTTTGTGTCCACTGCAGGGGGTACCTGAACCTGGGGAGGGGCGGGGGATTTCTTGCTCCAGCTTTTCTGTGCACGGAGCAAGAGGTGGTGGGTGGCCGGCGAGCAAGCAGCGGTGGCCGC